AACATCTTGGTTTTTCACAGACCTGGTTTGCAGAAATTTTAATGGAAGTTTCATATGCATCTCACCTTATTATAAACTCATTCAGTTGTACAAATCTTTTTCCACATTTGTTCTAGCTATTGTGGTCGAGAAAAATTAAAATTAAAGGTGAACCTATAACTTTCGCCAGTACTGTATGATTACAAAAACAAGCAGACAATGATTAGTTTCCCGCCAACATAATAGTAACACGTTTTTCTGACCTGAAAAATTCAAACCGGTACCATTTTGAAAACGATGAAGGAACAATAATGTCCCAGACAAAAAACCGAAGTCAGAACATCGGAGTACCGTGCGGATGCTTTTAGCGAATACATGACAGAAACGTGGCATATATAGGAGCTTATTGCACTTGATAGCCTACATCTGTAACCTTTTAATACAGACTGTCTTTCTCAGAACGTTTCCTAACCCGTCAGATCTATTTTTCTTGCCGACTACTATAAAACTGATTCTGAGTGTTAGATCAATTATTATTCCTTTTCTTGGGGTATTTTTATTACTTACTGCGTTTTTGTTGCTATGATTAACAGTTGTCTCATACACGATTTTCGAAGTATCTCGTGTGGTTGTACTATAACATTCGAGTTAATTTCAAAATGTCGGTTTTTTAAGGCAGCTGTTATTTCTTTATACAAATCATTTAAAGCGTCTTTTGATGCTGGATCATCATTTAAAAAAAAGTCTGAGTTGAATAATTCAGCATAATGCATTAAAATTTCATCTTTTACTCTATACAATGTTGAGAAATTTATAAACTTTAACTGCAATGCCAATTCTACGAAAAATTCGCTTCGTACACGATAAGCACGGTGCCGATAGGCATATTTATCAGCATAATTTTTAATACTATCTAACTGGACACGTACGTTATGAGAGTTCAATCGGGATATATGACACAATTTCCTAGTTTTTACTAATTCCAAGTACGATTCATCACAAGTTCCGTTTATGATCGGCTTAGGATGAGAAAACGGAAACATCATTAACTTTAAAACAGAAAAGAATTTGCTTTTATGCAGTTTCTTTTTTCATATGATTCAGTCGAGTCTTTCTCTTTCTTTGTTCGCATAATGAATACGGGATTAGTCATTTATTGAACGAATCAAGTTCAATTTTGCATTAAAGAGTGTCAGTCTGTTATTATTCATCTTCTGTCGTTCTTTACCAACCGAAATTGATTTAAGTAACTATTGAATCAATGTTGAAAATGTCTATGGATGGATAATAAGGAAGAACATATCTGGGCGATATTCTGAACATTCAATAATACCCGTACATGTTAATAGAGTAGACTGAAATGCTTTTCATTCAAACTGCTTTCATTTCTTTCTCATCTCTCCTTCGTTTCTGTCGTTCAAATATGACGGATATATCGCTATGAGAGAACCGAAATAGAAGGAAAAATTTCTTTGACAAATCTTTCTTCTTCTTGTGATAAATCACACAGCTAATTTAATAATCTTTTTTGTGAAACATGCATCAGTGTATGGGTAACTTTATTCACCCGTCATATATGATTATGACGTGCTGTATAGTGCAGAAATATGAAGAACTTCCACTCGAACTTGGACTTGGAAATGGTCGGACTTGCCCATCCCTGTTATATATCCAAGAAAGATATATATATCATGGAAGAAGATGTGATTCTAACTTTCCCTAAGTTGACTTTTGTGTTGAGTTTTGTGGAAAGCTGCATCTTGACATCTGGTCTGGAGATCCTGCACCATAACGTACTCATTTGGCGGATTAATTAAAGTGAATCGCTCCGTTGGCGTTTTCCACAACGATTCCGAATAACACCTTGCTGAGACTTGAAAGTACAATAGTGCGGGGGAAAACGCATTTTTTTTGAAAAGCCAAATTTTTGAGGCTTAAGAACACTTATCAGTATCTGGCGTTTTTCTACCGGAACACTTGGTCTAAACTAAAAAATAAGGTGATATTCGTGATCACCGACTGCATGGGGTAAAAAGAGACACTCCATTCAAATACATGGGATTCTAATTAATAATTGACTGCTAGGTAAGCTTTGGAGATAATTAGTGAAAAAATACCTCATTTTCTAGCCCAAACCTTCCTCTCTCTACCATAGGATTTTCAGCTCATTATCGTTCAAACTCATTAAACTAATTAAGACACAATCAACCACACTCATGATTGTCTTTCTTTTATTTCTATGCATTGGGATTGGGAGAAAAAGAGACACTCCACGGAGTTCTCAGAGAGAAACCTCTACTGTCTCGCCGAAGCCGATTTTGATATTATGCCAAATGGTAAAGTTGTTTAGAATGCTGAAGTCTATAACATATGTGAAAATCAGCTCACTACTTCATTGTAAAAATTTTGATATTGGTTTCGCAAAAAATGCGATATAAATTCGAACATATTTTTTGCAATAAATTAATTTCATAATTAATTATGATACTTATAGCCAAGCATTTTTAACAAAACATTCTGTCCATGTCATCGACCAGAGTCTCTTCTATCGAATGCAAAAACAATCAACTAAAAACTGTAGCAGATAGTCAAGATAATACCAAATTATTCGATGTGTGTCAGATTTGAACATCTCAAATACAATATGATATCAATAGATGTACAACAAATGAACCAGATTCAATTATGTGTTGAAATATGCAATCAAGAACGTCGCTAGTTTAATGAGTTTAAAAGATAATGAGCTGAAAATCCTATGGTAGAGAGAGCAAGATTTGGGCTAGAAAATAAGGTATTTTTTCACTAATTATCTCCAAAGCTTACCTAGCAGTCAATTATTAATTAGAACCCCATGTATTTGAATGGAGTGTCTCTTTTTACCCCATGCAGACTAGTGGAGTGTCTCTTTTTACCCCGAGTAGTGCGAAAAGAGACACTTTCATGAAGCTCTTCCCATTTTGGATCTGATTGAAAATCGGTCAGAGATTTCTAGAAGATTTTTACATCAACGTGTAGAAAAATGTTCGATCTACCATCATGTTCAATAGCAGGTTTTTCCGACCAAAAATGACTGAGAACTAATAAAAGTACGAGAAAAAATTGAAATAGTATCTCTTTTTCCTCCACAGGACTCTATATCATCATTAGTATTAGTAAGCATTTGCGACAGAACTAGGAAGACTATAGTTGATGAGAAGACAGAGAAGCAGCAGACAAATTTTTATGTCAATCTGAGTGTGATGTAAAGACAGAACATGTATATATATTCAACAGTGAGAAATGAGACAACAGGAAAGAGACATGGACAAAAAAGGATTCGTGTACGCACGGATTCGAACAGTAGACCAGAGACGTGCGAGGCAAGGAATTTTCATGCCCCGCGGGCTCCGTGGACCACTGGTTTAAATAATCCCGCTCGTGCTCCGTAGAATTTTCCTCTAACCCGTCCCCGTGACAATACACATTATATGTATATTTTTCGATGATTTTCATCTTTAACTGCAGGAAGAGCAAATCGAGTCCAACATGCAGATGGTTTAACTGTATTTACTCTAGGATTATCCACCAGTGGATATTTTCCTGGTTGATTTTTCAAAAGTTTGATATTCGATGTATCGTACTTTATATCACCAATTGAACATTCAGGTAGTGAACCACCAGCATCTGATGATGAATGACCAGTTGCTGTTGATAAAATAACATCAGGAGATTAGTCCGATGATAAATCATTTATTTCGATCATTGGGATTGATAAACGAGAAGAAGCTTTCAAAAATATCGACTTTCAAAAATCAAAAGAATTTTAATATCTCTTCACTTGGTGCAAAGAGTTTGAAATGATGGAAAATATGGAAGACACAAAGAACGGCTGAGCTCTTTTTTCGATTGCTTGGAGGTAAGAGACCAATCAATATTCGCGGAAATTGAAATTGTAGAAGAGCGACACCTGTTGATGGTTTTCACGGTCCTGCGAGGGCGATGGACAAATTCGGTCACGCGCCTGTCCCGTGAGGGTTTCCAACAAGACTATACATATCCAGGTTACTAGAAAGATTAGGTCGTACGTATATGAAAAAGAGCAATAGGCACTCAGAACGGGAAAAGGCTTGCGAACTGCAGGAGAAATATCGGACTATTAAAACTTCCATTCGGAAGCACCCTACCCCGGTAGCCACAAGGGGGGGTATTCTTTGTTCCTTCGCATATTTATTATTATTTCATTTCTAGAACTATTTCATCTCTAGAATTATTCCATCTATACAACTTCAATCTTTGTATCTTCGATCTATCCATCTTCCATCTTTTATTTTGCATTTGGAATCAGCAGTGTCCTGAAACGGACGTGCTCAGAAAACAGCAGAGGATGCACAACAAAACGAGAAAAACGAGCGAAACAGAGAGAGATTTAGAATAGATACAGAATACATGAAGAGCGAAATAAGAGGTTAACACTTGTAGAATGAATAGGTATTTGACTTAATACCGGGACTTTCAGGCAAATCAACTTTTGGTTTTTAATGCTAAAATCTGCGATTCTAAACCATGTGATTTGAAGTGAAGTATACTTCACTTCAAATCACATGGTTCAGAAACGCGAGTAGAGTGAACAAAGCATTTACTTGGAGTGTATAATTTATGCTCATTAAATGCATATTTTTGTCAAATTTTTGTCCATGTACTTGTCATTTACAGTACATTCGCTTTCCATCTAGTGTATCCATGCACTTGCTTTTGCCGTAGTGAATGTAAAATCACTTATTCACTGGTTATTTACTAGGTACCATG